CCCAGCCCCCCCGCTCCTCCTGCAGGAAGCCCTGGTCCGTCACCAGCAGGTAGAGGTGGCCCTGGGGAGAGGGGAGAGGGGACAGTCGGCCTCGGCTCAGCGTTGGGGGGGGGTCCACCGGCTCGAAGGAAGCCGGGGCAGGGGCCGGAGCCCCACCTTGTGCTTTATCATGGTGCTGAAGTGGTTGTTGCGGAAGAAGACGCTGAGCTCGCCCTCCCTGACGGCGGCCGTGAGCTCGCACAGCCCGTGGTAGGTCAACTGGGAGGCCGTGGACTCCAGGAACTGCTCCGCCACCAGCCCTGGGGCGAGAGAGCGGGGTGGGAGCGGGGCCAGGGCGTCGAGCACCCCCCGGGGACCCCGGGGAGCGGGCGGCTGGGCGGCGGGGGGCCGTTACCTTCGCTCACCAGGCTGGAGTCGCTGGCCTGTTTGCAGGTGATGATCTTCTCCACCAGCTGGTTGTAGCTCAGCTTGCCCACGGCTTGCACCACCTCCGGGCTCTGCAGGGAGGGGAAGGGACGGATGGGGGGGGGCGAGCACCAGGTCTGCAGGGACCTGCCCTCCCGCCCGCGGCAGCCCAGGGCAGGGCGAGGATGGTTCAGTTTGAACCGTCCCCAACCAGCTGGACCACCGCTCCGTCGCAGGGAGGTCCAAGAAGCTGAGCTGGTGGCTTCCACCATGGGGAAGGACCCGTCATGGAAGGGTTTGGGTTGGAAGGGACCTTCAAAGATCATCTAGACCCCCCCCTTTGCCATGGGCAAGGACATCTTCTGCTAGATCAGGTTGCTCAAAGCCCCGTCCATAGTGTCACAGAAGGGTTTGGGTTGGAAGGGACCTTCAAAGATCATCTAGACCCCCCCCTTTGCCATGGGCAAGGACATCTTCTGCTAGATCAGGTTGCTCAAAGCCCCGTCCATAGTGTCACAGAAGGGTTTGGGTTGGAAGGGACCTTCAAAGATCATCTAGACCCCCCCCTTTGCCATGGGCAAGGACATCTTCTGCTAGATCAGGTTGCTCAAAGCCCCGTCCATAGTGTCACAGAAGGGTTTGGGTTGGAAGGGACCTTCAAAGATCATCTAGACCCCCCCCTTTGCCATGGGCAAGGACATCTTCTGCTAGATCAGGTTGCTCAAAGCCCCGTCCATAGTGTCACAGAAGGGTTTGGGTTGGAAGGGACCTTCAAAGATCATCTAGACCCCCCCCTTTGCCATGGGCAAGGACATCTTCTGCTAGATCAGGTTGCTCAAAGCCCCGTCCATAGTGTCACAGAAGGGTTTGGGTTGGAAGGGACCTTCAAAGATCATCTAGACCCCCCCCTTTGCCATGGGCAAGGACATCTTCTGCTAGATCAGGTTGCTCAAAGCCCCGTCCATAGTGTCACAGAAGGGTTTGGGTTGGAAGGGACCTTCAAAGATCATCTAGACCCCCCCCTTTGCCATGGGCAAGGACATCTTCTGCTAGATCAGGTTGCTCAAAGCCCCGTCCATAGTGTCACAGAAGGGTTTGGGTTGGAAGGGACCTTCAAAGATCATCTAGACCCCCCCCTTTGCCATGGGCAAGGACATCTTCTGCTAGATCAGGTTGCTCAAAGCCCCGTCCATAGTGTCACAGAAGGGTTTGGGTTGGAAGGGACCTTCAAAGATCATCTAGACCCCCCCCTTTGCCATGGGCAAGGACATCTTCTGCTAGATCAGGTTGCTCAAAGCCCCGTCCATAGTGTCACAGAAGGGTTTGGGTTGGAAGGGACCTTCAAAGATCATCTAGACCCCCCCCTTTGCCATGGGCAAGGACATCTTCTGCTAGATCAGGTTGCTCAAAGCCCCGTCCATAGTGTCACAGAAGGGTTTGGGTTGGAAGGGACCTTCAAAGATCATCTAGACCCCCCCCTTTGCCATGGGCAAGGACATCTTCTGCTAGATCAGGTTGCTCAAAGCCCCGTCCATAGTGTCACAGAAGGGTTTGGGTTGGAAGGGACCTTCAAAGATCATCTAGACCCCCCCCTTTGCCATGGGCAAGGACATCTTCTGCTAGATCAGGTTGCTCAAAGCCCCGTCCATAGTGTCACAGAAGGGTTTGGGTTGGAAGGGACCTTCAAAGATCATCTAGACCCCCCCCTTTGCCATGGGCAAGGACATCTTCTGCTAGATCAGGTTGCTCAAAGCCCCGTCCATAGTGTCACAGAAGGGTTTGGGTTGGAAGGGACCTTCAAAGATCATCTAGACCCCCCCCTTTGCCATGGGCAAGGACATCTTCTGCTAGATCAGGTTGCTCAAAGCCCCGTCCATAGTGTCACAGAAGGGTTTGGGTTGGAAGGGACCTTCAAAGATCATCTAGACCCCCCCCTTTGCCATGGGCAAGGACATCTTCTGCTAGATCAGGTTGCTCAAAGCCCCGTCCATAGTGTCACAGAAGGGTTTGGGTTGGAAGGGACCTTCAAAGATCATCTAGACCCCCCCCTTTGCCATGGGCAAGGACATCTTCTGCTAGATCAGGTTGCTCAAAGCCCCGTCCATAGTGTCACAGAAGGGTTTGGGTTGGAAGGGACCTTCAAAGACCATCCAGTCCAACCTCCTCCCGTGGGTCATCTTCCACTAGATCAGGTTGCTCAAGGTCCTGTCCAACCTGACCTCGAGCACTTCCAAAGCATCCACAGCTTCTCTGGGCAACCTGTTCCACTGTCTCACCAGCCCTCAGATCATTCCCTTGGGTCCCTGGACCCACGCAAGCCACTGGCCGGGCGGCAGGACAGCCGTGGGGCCAGCTCACCTGGGGGTCCACCAGCCAGCCATGGTAGAGCGGGACGTTGAGGAGGTCGAAGACGATGCACTCGGGCGTGTACTCGAAGTCCGAGACGCCCGTGAACCGCACGTTGACGTCCAGCCCCGTCGAGAGCTTGGGGAGGACCGTCATGGTGGTGGTGGGGGTGGGGGGTGGTTTTGGGGGTGGGGTGGGGGGGGGGGGGGAGAGGAAGAAACAAGGGGGCTCTCGGGAAGCGGGCTGGCACCCCACGTCTTGCAGCCCAAGGTTATCAGTGCTCCCCGAGAGAGGGGGGGGGGGGGGGGGGGATGTTCGGAGTGATGGCGTTTTGTCTTCCCAAGTAACCGTTAGGCGTGATGGA